TATCTGGGCCAGGTGTGGTGGCACAATCTGTAATCCCAGCACTCAGGAAGCCGAGGCAGGAGGATCACCATGAGTTTGAGGTCAGCCTGGGTTACATAGTGAGTTCAAGGCCAGCCTGAAGAAAGGCACTATCTCAACACCCCCAATATATAAAACTGGGTCTAGATTGTTTGGAAACACAGCTATCAATTGTGTAGAGCCCTAGGAGAACTGGTGGGGACCCTCCTTGGTCAGAACACCAGAACCACCCACCTCTGCCATACCCTGCTCTCTCTGGCTCCAGGAAGAGAGTAACCCGTCCTCCTGTGCGACCTCACATGAGACCACAGAGGACAACGAACCCTTCTAAAAGGCCTCGTCGTGTTTCACACTGAAGGTTTAAGAATCTTTATGACTTGGACTTGCACGGTGGTCTTATGTTTAAAGCAAGAAACTAGGAAAACACACCGAGAGGCATGAGCAGGTGTTAGCCAAACACTAGCTTAACAGGAAACAACTTGGATGCACCCTAAATTCCCAACAGTTAAATAAGTGATGGGCTTCCATCCCAGTGAGTGTCACGCAGCTTCCAGGGCCCTTCTTACAAGCTGGACTGTGCATTCCGGGGCCTCGGGGCCTGGTTCCAGAAATCCTCTTCTGGGGTGATCACAGTCTGTTCTCCCGTCGCTGACACCACTCTCCTCCCCCTCCGCTCCAAGTGGGCCCTGCATGAAGAAGTCACGTCTCCCCATCTTGGCTTTGGGTGATGAAGAAATAATGCACAACAGGGCGGGCCTTTGTCTGTTGCCAAGCGCCCCTCCATGTTTAACTGTGCGGTAGGATGTCTAGGCTTCAAGAATGTTCCGTGGGCCCACCCATCCACCTCAGTGAGCATACGCACCTGGGAGGTCGGCCCACCCCCAGCCGCAGCCCGTAGATCTCTATGTAAGACCACTTGTATTTCTCTTCCGGGCTCAGACTCCGGAGTACGAACTCGTCTGAGTCTGCCTGCATAACAGGATCTCCATCTCTGGAGAGCCACTGGACTTCTTCCTCACCGGAGACCCTTGGATAGCCGTAATGCTTGGCCGCAACACAGAGCTGTCACGCTTGGCTATAACACGGGCAC